CAAGAGGCCTCCAACACGCCCAAGATGGCCTCCAAGACGCCCAAGATGGCCTCCAAGACGGCCCTGGAGCATTCAAGCGGGCCCCAAGTCGGCCCATAGAGGCCCCCCAAACGGCTTCCGACGGCTTCAGACGTGCCAGGAACCCACCAAGATGGCCGAAGTTGGCTCGAAGCTGGCCCAACAGGGCCCAAGAGGCCCCCAAGATCGCCCAAAGCTTGCCCAAGAGGCCTCCAAGACGGCCAAGATGACCTTCAAGATGCCCACGTGTTCCCCGAAGGCTTTCCAAACCGATTCGGGAACACGTGGTCCGATAGCTTGGCAGGTCTGGCCTCAACGTTCGGCCACATAGGCGCTTCCAAAAAGGCAGGGGGCGGCGGTGATTCGCCGTAGGCGTCTTCGATCCGCCGCCCCCTGCTTGCAGGGGTGCACGGCGTGCTGGATGATTCAGATTTGGTTTTGGTTCTTTTTCTAAAAGAACTCCCCAGTGGGCTTCGGCCCGTCCCGCCGGCCACCCGCGCGTTTCCCAAAATGCGTCTGTCAATGCCCAAAATCGGCCGTTTCGCTCGGGACATCCTCAAAAAATCGCGAAGATGGCCCAAGATGGCCTCCAAGTCCGCCCGAGATGGTCCAAGAAGGCCTCCAAAACGGCCCAAGAGAGTCCAAGACGGCCCAAGACGGCCCAAGAGGCCCCCCAGAGGCCTCCCAGACGGCCCAAGAGGCCTCCAAGAGGTCCTCCAGGAGAGTCCGAAGAGGCCAAAATCATTGATTTTCCCTTGGTTTTTCAAGGATTTTGGCATTTGCGCCTTTTCGGCTCTCCGACGGGTCAAGACGGCCCAAGAAGCCCCCAAGATCGCCCAAGAGGCCCCCAAGAGAGCCCCAGAGCAACGGTCCCATTTTTCTTGCGGAGACTGAATCTAGCGAAACTCTGGACTCGTCATGGCCAGAGGCTTTGAGCTTAAAGGCATGCCTTAAAACTCAATCTCCCCGAGGGTTGGGGGGGCGGGAGACCAAAAACAACTTGAGCGGAGAAAGGCAGCAGGGTGTTGGCGAGTGCACACCAGTGACAGGCAGCATATTCTATTTGCCCAACATCACACGTATGGCCCCTCTGCTCAACCCGTTCTAAAACCTCCAGAGCAACGGTCCCATTTTTCTTGCGGAGACTGAATCTAGCGAAACTCTGGACTCGTCATGGCCAGAGGCTTTGAGCTTAATGGCATCCAGGTAATGTCTCTCTCCCAACCCGTTCTAAAACCTCCAGAGCAACGGTCCCATTTTTCTTGCGGAGACTGAATCTAGCGAAACTCTGGACTCGTCATGGCCAGAGGCTTTGAGCTTAAAGGCATGCCTTAAAACTCAATCTCCCAAATCATCCCGAAGCTATCCAGGTAGGATGTTCGCTAGGGTGGGGAGAGAAAGGGTGGGAGTGACAAGCTCGCTTTTCAACAGTACTAGCTAAAAGGGTAGAGACCATTGCTCGTGCCAGACCAGGAGGGTACTCAGAAGCAATGCGGGTACGGCGGAGGCCGCCTGGCCCCCCGCCGCTGAGTTGCCAATGGGGTTTCCCAGTCTTAGAACATATACAGCCTTTTGGTCGGCATCGACGGGTGAGCTTAATTATATCTTCGTGATTCACGTGTGCACAGAGGAGCCGTGTGGGCTTCTTCCATCTTGCTCCATACTGACACTGGTCCAGTTCAGCCAGATAGACATGTCTATGGTGCGATAAGTCGCACACCTCAGCAGTATGCCACAGCCGGCTCGTCAAGGGATGTTCGAGGATTACGGGAACCCCCAGCTTCAAAAAGAATCTGAAGAGGGAAAGCGCAACCCGAGCGAGGCGGTTGCCTAATTCCACTGCTTCGGCATCGGCAGGCGTCAGCTCGGAGGCAGGGAAGCCCCATGGCTTCTCGCGGCTGCGCACCGGCCTCGACCTGTCGTGCGCGAGGGAAAAAGTCTGGCATGGAGGGGCCATTGCCGCGGCCACCAGCCGGCCAGCTCGAGCGTCAGATTTGATCGCCCGCAGCACGGCCGGCGACAACAAATCCTGCCACTCTGCATCATAGATGACGTCCCAACTTCTCGCACGGAAGCCCTCGGCCTCGGCCGCCCGAGACACAGCTCGGCAGCCTGCGAAAAGATCGCCGAGGTACTGGCCCTTGCCGAGGCGCGAGCGGCGAAGGCGGCCACGGGAGCGGCCTCCTCGGTAGCCCAGGTGTAGCTGGCTCACTTGCGCCACAGCTGCACGTTGTGGGGACGGTCCGTCAGGATGAGCGCCAGCTGCCTCTCCGCCTCCTCGCACGTCGCGCGCAGCCGGGGGTCGAGCTTTGCATAGTCGCTGCCGAGCCTGCTGCTGTGCTCGTAGCGGTGCATTGACTTCGCCTGCGTCCACTCCCCGCGTCGCTGAGCCGAGGTCAGACTGCGCCAGCCCTTCGCCAGGTCGATGCTGGCGCCCGAGTGTCTCATCTGGTACAATGTCACTGGGGCCACCCCGAGGTCCTCTGCCGCCTCCTTGAGCAGCGTCGCTGCCTCGGGGTAGCTGAAGTTCCACAGCGGCTCCTTCGACGTCGTCGAGGCCAGCCGCCCGAACACCTCGTCTAAGCCCTGGAGGTACGGCGAGTCCAGGGGGCAGCCCTCGTCGAAGTGCCCACGCTTGCTCGGCCTCTTCCGCTCCAGCGGGTGGGTCAACAGAGCCCAGTGCCGGCTGACACCAGGGGACGGAGGCACAAGGTCGCATCGCCGGGCGGCCAGCAAAGTCGAGGGCCGACCATAGATCGATACGCCTATCATCAAGAAGATGCCCAGGCGTAGGTGTCCTCGCTGCGCCAGCCTCCAGGCCAGCCCGCACCAGACTGGAAGGGCAAGGGCCTTCCGCCGCCTGCCCGGAGTCAGCCTGCGCCAGGCCTTCAGCGCCCGCCAGGTCCGCGGCAGCTTGCGACCTCCCACGCGCCCGAAGTCCGGGTTCGCGCTGACCCAGGCCGCGACCGTCTGGTCTCCGTAGTTGCTCTGCTCGCCCTGCAAGTATTTCTCGGTCATGTAATTGCACATGAGCTCGTCGATCTCCGTGTCCGGCTTCGCCAGGATCTCCCTCCGGCTCAGGCCGGCACGAGAGTAGAAACGATCGAGATATCGCTGGTACCTCACCTGCGTCGCCTGGGTCACCGCCAAGGTCTCCAGGAGGCTCACGCCCTCGCCCTGCGCCGCCAGGATAGCATCGGCGTACAGCTTCGCCCGCCGGTGCGCCCTCCGCGCGCGCAGCTGCCGCATTCGGGCCCGAGTCCGCCCCAGCTGCTCCACCACCGAGTCGGAGCCGCTGGAGCTGCTGTCGCCCTCGGCGTCCTCCCCGGCGTCTCCAGCGAGGTCCAGCCCGTTCGCGTCCCTCTCGTCGAGGGCCGAGAGATGCCGTCCAGCCTGGCTGGCCCTCTTCCTTGAAGGCAAGAGGGGGGCCGGCACCAGCACCCGCGTCCGGCCCGGCGCCCCGGGGCTGGCGATCGCCCTCGCACCGCTCGGGTCCGAGCGCGAGCCCGCCTGCGCTGCCGCGCCTGCCAGCGCACGAGTCCGTGCGGCCGGCCGCCGAGCGCCTGCCCGCTGGGGGGGCGTCCGCGCCTGCGGCACCGGCTCGGCCAGCACCCGAGCCCTCTCGGGGGCCATGGCCCGCCGTCTCTGGCAAGTCGGGCGCCTCGGGAATCTCAGCCAAGAAAGAATGGTGTGGGCCAAAACGGCTACGGAGAGGATCCCGCGCATTGTCTTTCACAGGGACGGCTCTTGGAGGACGGGTGAGCAGATTCAGATCGGCCTGGAACTTCTCATCCAAGAGGGATGTGAGAATATTACTGTCACTCTCAGAAAAAACCCTGCTGCCTTCATCGCTTTCATTAAACTCCGAGGGGATCCATCGAATAGCGGGCGTAATCCCCAACGCAATCGCATAGGCGTAGAATCGACGGATCTGAACCAGCAAGCTGAAGCGGGACGAACGAGCCCTGGAAAAGGATAGCACCACAGACATATTGTCGGACAGAAAGAGCTGTCGCACACAGACCCCGTGCGCGGTCTTTGCCAGCCGCTGGATCGATTTTACGAGGGCCCTGGCTTCAAGGATCAGGATGTCCTCAGCAAAACGCCAGACCCCGGACCGGACGGTCTCCCAGGCCCCCTTTCGGAGCCACTGCCAGGGCACTTCAGCGAACCCGGGGTCGAGCTCCCACGAGGACAGGGGGTCAGACGCAAGAGAGTCAGGATTCTTCAT